AACGGAAGAAAGGTCCACCCTGCTCGTCCGAACGTTCCTCGGAGATGAAAATTAATTTAATTCGGAGTGGTTTAAAGAAAAAGACGGATAAAAGTTGTTGTCCTTGCTCTTCTGCTCCCGAAATCCGCGGGCTCCGTCCTGGAAGGGCGCCGAAATTTCCCCTTTTTGGACGGGAATTTCCGGTCTCCGAAAGGGTATTTAAAATGGATTAGGAAAAGAACTTTGGCGGAGTCGTTTTTTTGCCGACCAAAATGGAAAATCGATTATTTTAAAAATGCGAAAACAAAGAGTGGAAACGCTCTCCGGCACTTTTTTATTTTTGTATCCGGTGGAAAAAAAAATCAATTTGAAAATCGCGCCGTTTTTTTCCGAAAGTGTCGATTTTGAAAATTCCAGATTTCGTTAAAAGAGAAGAAGGATCCGTTTTGTCTCTTTTAAAGGCGCATTTCGTCTCGGCCATAACCTTTATCCCTTCCTTTATCCTTTAGGCATTTATCCGCCCGAGTAAACCTCCACCTCCCCCCACGTTTTGACAATTTTTTGGAGAAAATATTCGACGTAAGCGGTTGGAGGTATCCGGCCGCGGCCATTTGCCACGCGAAGTAAACGGGTTTAAAGCCCTGCTACAAATACAACCGCCGCGAAATTATCGCGCGGTCGCACTCTGGAAGCGTTATAACCACGAAGTAAATGCTAGTTTCCGCCTTACCGGAAAACGGAACCGGAAAAATAAATACATTCCCTTCTGTTTCGTTTTATTTCCGCAATACCCGAATATCGCCAGTAGAATTAGATTGTCGCCTCGTTCGTTTGCCACCTCCAAACTGTTCCGTCACTTTCCTCAGCAAAGGGAAAAGTTTGGCTGAAAAGAAGAAATAAACAAACAGAAAAGGTATTTTGGAGGCCAGGAAAATAAATTTAATTAAAAAACTTTATTTTAAAAGTGTCTTTTCTACCGCTTTCCTATTGGTCGAAACACGAGTAAAGAAGTCGGCAGAAACTTTTTAAAGAAGCCGCCGATTGACCAATCTCCTATAAAGAAACGACGTCACCTCCCCTATCCTAGGGAAGGGGGGGGGAGAACGGAGGTGGGAATCGACCACCTCCGTTTCGGCTCTCCGCCGTAAATGTTTCAAAAGGATTTCCGCAAATTCCCTTCCGTCGCCTGGCCGATTCCCGGGAGATTTGACGGAAAACGAGTTCCGGTGTTTACCTTCTATCGGATCGCGTCGTCGAACAAATATCGAGACCCACCCGTTCGTTCCACCCCCGGGGGATTCGTTCCTTTGGATTTCTACCACGTGAAACATCCCGGTAGTGACGTAAAGGGCGCCGCCGGTAATTCTCCGGGGTCAAAAAGGCGGAAGAACCCTTACGGGCGGATAAAGATTTAGGCGTGGTTATCCGCCTGTAAGGGTTGCCCGATCGACTTTTGTTATAAAAGACAGAAGAAAGAACCAGCAATTATTTATTATTACATACATAGTCACAATTGCTGGCTGAAATTTTTAATTTAATTTAAAATATATATGCTCTCCACCTCAAATTAGTAGTAGCTTGCCCCTGTACATCATACTTTTCCTTTAACAGTAGAGTCGTGCGGGTCATCTACTAACTGCTTTCGGAGAAAAGAATTGAAATGACGTGATTTCCGGTTTGCGAGGGAAGTTCGTATACAATTAATCGGAGCTTCCTGCCCCTAATCTTTCCGTAACCGGTTTCGTCTTTCATCTCTCTAACACTTTTCTCGAGATTAAAGAAAGACAGTGGGAATTTATAGGTCTACAATTTTTTCAATTTGCGGCCCAAAAAGGAGGATAGTCGACCGACAGTCGAATGAAGTTTTCGGTTCGTGTTTAACCGAAAAAGACGGTCGTCGTCCGTTAATTCCTCTCCTAAGAGAAGCCTCCGGCTTCTTTTTTTCTCGGAGTAAAAACGGAACAAAGGAATTTCTTGTTATTGTCGGTAATCGGATCCTCTTTACGCCTAGCCAATAGCAGGTCTTTCGTCCGTGGCCATCTTTCCGCTTCTTTTCTCCGCCCGGCAAAACGTCGACGTAATTCCGGCTTTCCCCCAATGCCAATTTCCGGAAAAGCCAGTCGAAGCCAATTACGTACGATGCGCCGTGACGCCAGTCTACCGAAGAAACGTCGCCCCACGTCCGATTAACGCCCCTCTTTGGCCACCGGGGCCCGGGCTGACCCCTTACCTTCTTTCTCCCGGAAGTGATAATCCCGGATCGTTCTTTCGCCGGATTTTTCTTCTTCCGCAATCTCCGACCCGGGCATCGCGTTTCCGGAGTTCCGCCGCTCGAGTGTCTCGGTGTCATTTACCACCGACATTTACTTCCGCCGCTTCTTCCGGAAACGACGAAACTCTCTTTTCCTCCGTCGTCATCTTTAACCACCCGGCTTGGGGGTCGTTTGCTCTTCCAGACCGGCGGGAGACACCAGGGTCGGGCGTGCCCGGTCCCGATACCAGTCCGGACGAAAGGGGAGAAGCGGGGGATGGATGGAGGCTTTTCCGGTCGACCGGACTCTCGGACTCTCGACCCGGAAGAGTCCGTTCCTCCCTCCTTATCGCTCCGGAACAGACGGCGCTTTACGGCTCCGGTTACGGCCGAGTCTACCTTCCCCCTCTCTCTCTCTTCGCCCCTCGTCTTCGTCGGTAGAAAGAACTGGCGGAACTTCCACTTCCGCCGGAAACTTTCCACCCCAATTTGTCATTTTTTTCCACTTTGAAAGGTCGGACGACCGTTAGGGTAAACCGAGTTACTTAATTAATAACCAATTATATACTGTAAAACGATACAAAACAATACCTTTCCATTACTCGAGCGTTAAAGGGTCGAAGCGGAAAGGGGAAGAGCGCGCGCCGCGTTTAACACCCGATTACTTAAATTGGCCGAGACTTAACGGTCGATAAATGGCGGTCTTTCCGGGTCCACTTCCGGAAACCGCCGCCTTACTTACGATGACCCGGAACCGTTTTCGGCGTTAAAAGCGCCTTCCGGATGGCTTCCGAGGGAACTCGGAACGCATCTCCCCCGACGGGACGGGCCTTGTGTTTCCACTCCGACCGAGAGAGTGACGATCGACGTTTATTCCGCGTGCGGAAAGAGTTTTTGAAGGATGGGAGCGGAGAGGCGGGGGAGGAATCGATGGAAAATACACGAAAATCTCATTTATTAATTAGCGCTAAGAGTTTTTAATTAGTCGGAGGCGACGATTAATAAGAAGTCGATCGGATATTACAATTAACCGTAAAACTCCTTTCTCGTTAATTACGTCCTTCTCCTGGCCGGACTTCCCCCGTTCCCTCTTGAAGTCACTCCTTCTCTTTCGTCCGCGTTAGACAAAAATCGCGAGAGACGAATCCTCTAATTAATTTCGTCGGCGACTTACGACGATAACCACGGAGGAATTAAATATCTCGGAATTAATTACCGGCTCCGATTTATTCTTTTCCACCTTCGCCCTTTTCCTAGTAGACCAATCTTCGGTTCCCCGGCCATTCTCTCCTCTCTTCGTTTTCCCAAATCCTCCTCCGAAACCACCAAAAGGGTTGGGATTAAGCGGCCGGCGTTTAATTTCTCACCTTCGTTTCCGATTAAACTTCTCAGTTTAACGTTCGACGCGACGAAAATCGAAGGAAAGTATCGATTCCCGGTCGATTGTCGCTTCCGCCAGCGTACGCGCGACGAAATCGATTAGTAGGCGACGACTAAAGGCGTCGCCTACTAATCGACGACGACGACGACAGCGACGACCAAAGGCGTCGCCGGCGACGTTTCGGTGTCGGAGTTAAAACCCGTAAGAAAGTCGCCCTCTCTTTCCCGCGTAGAATATAACCGTCGCCGGGTCGTCAGAAGGCGTTAGAAAGGAAGGTGGCCGTCTCCGACGGGAAGAATCTATTCTTAAGAGACGGGGTGCGTCGAAGACCGGAAGTTGTCGTAGGTTTTAGGGCGGATTGGTTTATCCGTCTTCTCTTCCATGTAGAAATAATAATAATTAAACAATAGGGGGCAGAGCGGCCCCGAAAGGAAAACCGGCGGGGTAGATGGAAGTCCGTGGCGTGGCGTACGCGTTAATCGAAAACTGTGACGGCAAATGTGCCGCCGCCGTCGTCGTCGTCGATTATTTCGTTAAAGAATCGAAAGGGAAAGAACTTTCGTAAAGTTTTCCATTAATCGCGCTGAGAAAGGAGCGGCCCTTCGCCTCGTCCCGGGACGTAAGACGTACTGTACCCCCTAAAGCGATAATACGTGCCGGATCCAGACGGATCGACCGTACTCCGCCGTTTTCCACCCCTAAATGCCGGCCGATATTTATTTCCGAGTAATCTGTCCGGATACTAAAGTCGCGCGGACGGACAACCCCCCTGTTTTTTCCAGTTTTGGTGGGAAAGAAAGGCGCTTACCGAAACCTCCGCCTAGAATACGGGATTAATCGATTGTTCCAGATATAATCGATTGTCGGACGTGCATTTCCCCGCACCGGAGGCCGAGTCCTTTCTCGGCGGTACTTATCCCCGTCGACGCTTTTATTGGCGAAATTTTGGGGGGCGATTACGCCTCTTTCGTCGTCCCGACGTCTTTCTAACGCTCTCCGGAAACCAAAATCCGTCCGGAAAGGAAAAAGAGAAGAGGGATGCGTTTCTCTGGTGGAAACTGTCGGCTTTTCTCCCACGTCTTTCCGCGCAAGAGGGGTAAACGCGTGACGCGTAGGTAGATAAGGGCGGAAGGCGATGAATTCCGTCGTTTCCGCCCAGGGAAGAGAGGCCGGTTCCTTCTCCCTTCCCTTATTTGTACGGCGCGGCGGCACCCCGGACCTTTCGAACCGGTTGGGAGGGGGCGAAAGGGGAGGAGAAAGGCGCCGTCGGCCGTCTAGTCCGGGCGCGCGCGGTCCGGGGTGGGACCGGTCTTCCCGGCGCGACCAACGGCGAGCCTCGTTACGGCTCGTCCAATGGGAGGACGGGTAAGAAGCGGAACGGTCGGACGGCCTCTCCGACTCCTTCCGCCCGGGCAGACGGAAGAGCGGCGTGGAAGGAGCGCGTGGCGTCGTTGGTGGCGCGTGGCTGGATCGGGCGGAACGGCGGCGCGCGACTAAAGGCGTTGCCGGCGGAGATACGAGGAGGACGATGCCCGACGGGAACCGACGGTGGAACGGCACCCGGCCGGGACGACGGCCGACGCGAACGGCCGCGGCGCTGGGTTCGGCCGCCTTCGTCCTGGGACTGGCGCGCCTGACCGCCGCCACCTTCAATCTCTATCTTCGGCCCGACGAAGTCCGCAGACTCCTGGGTGAGTTCTCTCTTCTCTTCTCTCTTTCTCTCCGCCGGGCTTCAGCGCGCGCAGCCCGGCCAACAAGAAAGGTCGGTGGCGGCCCCGGGGTCCATCGGATCCGGAAAGCACTTTACTCCCCGCGGTGGAAGGACGGAGAAAACCGGAAGGAATCGTCCAGCGGCGTCGGTAGCGCGTGGCCGCTGCCCGGCGCCCACCATCGATACCGCCGAGTGGAAGGGGTCGGCGGCGTAGGTCGGGCCCGAAATCCCTCTTTGCGCCGCGCGGAACCTCCGAAAATGGCCGAGGAGTCGGAGTGCCGGTGGGACGGGACCCCGGACGGTGGTCGACGCCACCTTTCGACCTTTCTCGTCGGTACGGACGACGCTTCCTTCCGGTAGGCGATGTTTCTCCGGACGACAGTTGATCGCACCCGCAGTTTTATCCGGACTATTGGCGAAGAACGAGGGAAACGATGCGATAGAAGAAAGAAGGTAAAGTTCCTTCCGTCTCGGATGGGTCTTTCCCACTTTCCCGAGGACTCTCCTCTTCCACCCGGACGCCGTCTTAAGACTTTTAAATCCCCGGGCGCAAATTTCGGGAAAGCAAAAGTGGCCGTCGTCCACCTTCCTTTCCTCCGTAAGGGTACGACGGGATCCGGTTCCGGGTCGACCGTCGACCCGTTCCGGAGTCCGGCGCGGTCGTCGCTCTTTTCCTTCGTCTTTTTTCTCCCGCGGGGAGACCCGTTCCGGTGTTAGAGAGACCACGCTTCCCGCGGAGATCGTCCTTTAATTCGCCCGCTTCCCGACAAAAGGGCGTCCCTCTATCCTCTACGGGAATTGGGTGGCTTCCCGTCCCTCTATCCGGGAGGCGGGCGGTCCGAAAAGGCCGGGATTTTCCGGACGGAGAGGCGCGCCGCTAGAGGGCCGCGCGGCGGCGGCGGACGGGGAGAGGACGAACGTCGTTTCCCAGAAAAACCCGGGAGAAGGTCGAATCCGACCTGTCTGTTATCTCTCGATCTCCGGCTTATCTCCGGACCCTCGACCTTCGCCGCCGGTTCGACTTGCCGAAAATCGTTTCTTTCCTCCGCCTCCATCTTCCACCCCTTCGACTCCCCCTGGAAGTGGGGCCGTAATCGTCGGCGGCGGTCTACCACCCTCCGGCTTTCCATACCCTTCTCTCGTCCCACCGGCTGGGATTAAATTAATGGCGGTCCGGGTTTCGTCTCCGGCCGTCCGGCCCGACGGAGCCAAACCTCTCCGGTTACGGAGTGAGGAGGAACGTCTGGTAGTTTCTGGCCGATGCAATAACGAGAGTGTGTCTAGACTGGGGATTTGCCTCGTCTCCCCCGGCCGGTCTAGCCGAGGAAAGGAAGACCGGTGTGCCTTAACGCCGAACACTCTCTCGGCACCGGTCTTATAAATCCCCGGCGCGTGGAGGCGTTTTCGGATACGGTGGACTGAAATTCCTTCTATCGATTCCATTCCGAATGCCGACGATTCTTAAAACCTTCACCTTCTTCTTCCTCTTCCCTCTGCAATGACTCTCACCCATTCAAATTTATGCGGAGACGACGTATCGGGCGGAAGGCCGTCTTCTCGTTTTTTCCGGACGTCCAAAAACTTCCTTCCCTTCGATATTCCGGGACCGAAACCGAACGTCCCTTTCGCGGCTCCGGACGATGGAAAATAATTCCGGAAAACCGCAGATTTTCTAAGAACGGACCCTCCGTTTGGGGGGTGGAAAAGTTACCCGCCGCCTCTCTTCCTGGGATAAAACGCCAGTTATTCCCGACCGGAGTTACGTCTCCCGTCTTAACCGAGAACGTAACCGGTTACGCCGGTTTCTCGGCCTCCCCACCGTCCGTTTTTGGCGCGGCCCACAGAAATTGCCATCGGGTAGGCCCAACCTTTTTAAACACACGTTTTTTTCCTCCCTCCTATTTAAGAGGAGGACCCGGACGGCGGTTGGCTTTCGAATCTCTCACCCTCTATCCCCTAAAATAATCCCGGTGGGATCGATTCCGGACTCCGACCTTCCTCTTCTGGTTTGTTTTTCGTCCCGGTGTCGAATTTATTATGACGTCGAACGACCCGAAAACGTTTATCGGCCGCGAAATTCCGAAAACGAGTAGAAAGGAACCGGGCGAATTTTCATTTTCGTTAGATCTTCTCTTCCCTCCGTTAACGGGGGGACGATAAAAATGGGTTTCCGTCGTTCCGCCGGTAGACGGATGACGAAAGACGAAGGTAAACGCGTGACGTTTCCGCCATCGGTCGCTATGGTAACTCTTTCGGTCGATAATTAGAGAGGAATCGGTCCGAACCGAGGTGGCCGGAACGGCTGTAATTGGTTTAGTTACGGGGACGTCCGGAAATAACGGCGGAGAATTTTCTTATCCGTAACTGCCGTCGGAATTAATTGGGTGGAAGAAAGGTGCCGACCATCCGATTAACCGGCGAGTTGGTAAAGTCTACTTCCGAAACTCCTTTCGTCGTTTTAAGGAATCGTCCCGTTATCGGTGGATCCAACTAATTCATAAAAGAAACCCAAGAATAAGTAAAAGTCAACGGAAGATCGTGCCAATTTCCGGGAATGTGGACGTAATACGGACACTCGCGGAATGTCAAAGCGCGTAATTCTTTGGAAAAATTCCCCCTTAACAAAATTTCCATTTATTTATTTTCTTATCTAAACTCATTAAATTGATAAACGAAATTAGTAAAACGAAATTATTGGGTGTTACTCCGAACGGCGTTAATTCCGCTCCGAGGAAAAAGTCGGTTTTAGCGAATTTTCCGCCGTTTTTCTCTCCGTTAATTGTCGGATAACGGAGAAAAGATTCGGAATATCGCCGCTTCCCTTCTTTACCGGCGATTTAATTATATTTTCCCGTTTTACGTCGAAAGATATCGAATCTCTACCCTCGGTTTTCCTTCTTTACAAAGGAGTAACTACGACGGAACTTATCGGCAGGGCCCGTTAATTTTTTTTAGGGCCCGGCTTTTAAAACGCGTAAATGCGCGTACGGACCGACGACATTTTTAATTTCTGTCCGTATAATTTTGATAATTTCCACAGGTCTGAGCGCCGAACTGTCTTACGTCAGGGAAGGAAAAGTCAACGATTACGCTTTAGGATTTATCGTTTTAGTACCGGCTCATATATCCGAACTGTACTTCACCTGGCAAAGCCTCCGGCCTCCTCCGGTAAGTACCGTTTCTCCGCTTTTAACCTTTCATTCCTCTCTCCGCCTCCAATTCTTTCCCAGGCCCCCCATCCGTTTGTTAAAACCTCTTAATTACCGGCCGACGGCGTTTATTTTCCGGAAGGAAAAAAGGACTGGCCTGTCGTCTCCATCTTGGTCTTCCTCCCAGTCCACACCCTACCTCATCCGTAAAAGGAAAGGACTTTCCATTCCGGGAGGAAGAGACGGATTAAATTCTCAAAGTGCCCTCCACCGGTTATGCCCTTTATAATTTCGGTAAATTACAAAGTAAAATTGGAGTCCGGAAAAGACTAATTTCCGTAATTTCCGGTTAAATTTCCGATTAAAAATCCGGATAGCGCGTGCTTTTACCTCCATCCCGCCTCATTTTTTACATTTGTGTGCAGTGTGAAAGCAACTGCGCCAAATTGACAATAAAACGTACAGTACATTTAGTAGACGAAAGGAAGCGGGCTTAGCCAAACGCTTTATAAATTAGGCTAAGTCCTTGGGTTGCCAGGGAGTGGGAAGAGGCCGGGTTCGTATTCCTGTAAGAATGCCGCCCGGATTAAAACCACCTCTTATAATTAAACGAAAGAAGCGGATAGAAAACTTTTAAAATGTTTTTTTAATCGATTTTAAAAGATTTTCCGAAGTTTTCATCTGTAAACGTGAACGTCGAACGTCGAGCACAGCTTACGAGATAGCGGCGCTCGACGTTCGACGTTCACGTTTACAGATGAAAACTTCGGCCGCAACCTGGCTATTGTTACGATTTACGTACAGTATCGATTATAAATACGTTTTTTGCCCGAAGAAATAAGAATGAGAATTTTTTCTTATTATATTTCTTACTCGGTTGTTTTTTTTCCAATATAAATAATGGAGAAAATTCGAAAGAAATGAAATAAAAATATTAGGATGGAAGGTAAAGGAATAGAAATGAAGGTTATTTATTATTTTTTTAAACTCAATTTATAAAGAAAATTGTTAAGAAATAGTTTTATAAATAATTATTATGAATTTAAAAACATAAAAGCTGATAAAAAATTGTTTTTTATAATTCTTATTTAGCTCAGGTGTGTTGTAATAGAGGAGATTTGTAAGAATAAATACAGCTGTCCCTTGATAATCCGACAGGTATAGGACCAAAGGGGTGTCGGATTACCAAAAGTGTCCGGATTACCGAAAGTGATTACATATTTGGCATTGTTTCGCTAGCAGTAGCCTACGATATTCCCTACTCCAACTGTTCGAACAGAACTGCTCGCGGAAAACACACGAAATGTGTGTCATCGTGTAAGAATTGGGTGGGGAGATTCACGTCGCGACATGCTTCTGTGCAAGCAGACACGTAACGGGAGGTGCGTCGGACTACTGAGCGTGTCGGATTACAAGACGTCGGACTGTCGAGGGACAGCTGTATTTGAAAGGGTAGATTAATTAATAAACGCGCTGAAAGTTTCCTTCCGTGATTTCGGTGGGCATTGCTCGTTTCTTCCGATTTGGCCGAATAAATCGCTTTGTTTAAGTATTTGGCAGCCAAACCACGGCGTGCTTTTCAGAAGAGTTTTAGTTAAGCGCTGGTCGGATTTTTATGCCATGGACCATTTTGCCCGGGTTGTGGCGGCACGTGCAGTTCACCTACCCCTTTTCTTAGAAATATCTTATGACCAGAAGATATATGATGATAAGAATTTAATAAGTTTTTTGTTTGTTTTTTGTGTGTGTGTGGGGGGGGGAATGTCGTCTTAAATGGGACGCTAAAGCATTTCGGTTTATAAAAAAAAAGTCGTACATCGTTTTCCCTTCAGGGCGAGACTTGAACTATCAGAAAATACTATTGTTATGTCATAAAAAGAAGAGGAAGGAAAAACATTTTTCTTGAAAATGTGTAAATACCCCGTTTTGGACGAAAAATGGGGTGTTGCCAAGGAACGTGTAAATTCTAAGTCTAATGCAAAATTTGTTTATTTTATCACAAAACCTACAAAAAAAAAGAATATAAGAGAGAGAAAATAAGTTATGTTTGCCATTTTTGTTTTCAAAAGGTATTAGCATTTTAGGAAGGAGAGAGGAGATTGAGTACCACTTGGTGTTTCTAAAATTTGGTAACATTGATGGAAGAGTTTCTGGGGTACACATTTTACTGTTGATGGCAAAATGTGTAGGAGCCAAGTTTTCTTGGCCAGGGCATTGATAGGTTAGTAAAACATCTTTTTGTGTTTCCTGAAGTAACTTTGCAGACTTCTGCCACAAGCTTTCTCAGTTTTGTTGCCTTGGTTGTGAAAGTAAAGCGTTTGAAGGGATGAAGATAGGGGTCAAAGCTAAAGCATGAGGTAACTTTCGAGTGGATGTCTGCTTGGAGTTGCAGTCAAGCGGCAAATTTGTGGAATTTTGTTTCTGAGGTAAGAGTACTTACGGCAGTTCAAGACAGGAGTACTCTTACCTGTTGCGGTACCCTTATCCTCTATGTAAACAATAGCCTTTAACTTCCATTCTTGCAGAAATCATGGGTAAATACAAAAGGAAAACTGATCAAAAACTTAACTTTACAAAAAAAGAGTATGGAAGAAGCAAGAAAGAGAATTGCTGATGGAGAAAGCAAATGTCCAGTGGCAAAGGTGTTTGATGGTTTGATGTACCGGAATGTATCCTGAGGAAGCATCTGAAAGCTATAAACAGAGAGAATTGAAAGATTTGTAGGTCTGTTGACATTTTGTTTTATGTAATTCATTTAAGATTTTCCAGCATTGTTTCGGGGAACTGTACCAATGTTCTCAAGATGGTTCAATAATTCAAGATGGAAAAATAACTAGCTAATCGATATTGTGATTTAGATAGAATATACTACGGATTAACTAAATTTAAACTTATGGAAATTGTTTATCAATTTGCGGAAAGAAACAATTATCATTGTCACTTTGTAGAAGTGAAGAGGACTGGTAAATATTGGGCCCTGGGATTTTTCTAGACAACATAGCTTTAGTTTGCAAACAGCTGAAAACTGAAGCTTGAGTGTGTTCTAACCTGATGCAGTGCACAGTGATTTTTTGACAATTTGAAGTGTGTTTATGAAGAGAGAAAGTTTCAACTATGTAAGATTTTCAACATGGATGAATCTGCAATAACAAGCATTCCAAGCAAGTCATCTAAGGTGTACACTCCAAAGGGCAAAATGGCTGTCATGAAAATTGCATCAGGCAAACGTGGACAGTCAGTCAGTAGTTTGTTGTTTGAGTGCATCAGGAATTTATACACCTTCTGCTTTAATCTTTCCTGGAAAGTGACTTACACCAGATAATTACCATGGTATTCACCTGACACTCTGAAGCTGATAACTGACTCTGGTTATATGCAGACAAACCTTTTTGTTCAGTGGTTGCATTATTTTGCCAAAAACAATCAATCAACAGCCAAAGACCCTGTCTTACTAATAATGGACAACAATTCTTTGCATTGTTCACTTGAAGCTGTTTTTTACCAGAGCTAATTTCATCAATTTGTTAACACTGCCACCACAAGCCAGCCAAAACATGCAGCCACTTGATAGAAATTTCTTCAGATATTTAAAAGAAGCTTACTCCAAAAAATGTGAAAATGGTTGATGGGATGCCATGGGAAATAAGTTGCTTTTACATGCAGCCAACGCAAGAACTGCAATAATAGCCATAGCGAAGAATGATTTCGCCAGTACAGGTATATATTCTTTAGATCTAGATGTCTTTTGTGAGAAAGATTATCTGCTGTCAACAATTAAGCCTATAACATCAAATGATGTTCAAGAAAGGGAAGCTTCAAAATCCACAGATCCTATAAATTCAACAATTTCAAAAGGAGCTGCAAGTCAGACTTCAGTTTCAATTGCAGAGATAGATCTACTTCCAAATGCAGAAAAGTTAGAAAGCAGAACTGAATGGAGAAACAGTCAGAGAGTCTTTCAGTAAGATTGGTAAGATTCTTTCTTACCAATGAAAATTGCCTTAGAGCAGATGGAATAGGAGAAAACCAAAACAGAAAAGAAAGGTAAAAGTAGGGTGGGTGCAAAAAAAGACTTGGATTTGTGAAAAAAATGACTAGCAACTTTTCATTTCAAGAGATGATAGGACTAATAATGAGTGTTTTCTGTCCTGGCTGCAAAGAATCTTTTGATGATGCTGGGTGCAATTTGGGCAATGTACACATTGGTGGCACAAGTGATGTTTAGATTATGAAGGCACAGGTGCTTTCATTTGTGATTACTTTTAGTTTGTACTCTTAATTCGATAAGTTGTGTACTCTTAACCTCCAGTGTAGGATAAGAATATGCATTGGAATCTTCTCTATTTTTTAAACTTCTTGTCAAAACTATAATTGTTTTTTTCTGTCTTACATAGCCAAGTGGAAAGATGTTTAAGTGACATAAATTCACATCTGAGAAATGCAAAAAATAACATAAGGTGTGTACTCTTCCTCCTCTCCCCTACAGTAAATTGAGTCACATATGATGATGACTCAATGGTTACCCCCTTCTTCAGCACTTGAACATGCTTATTGCACCTGTCCTTGACAAGCTCTTAGGGTTTGCAGATTTGTCAGCTCTCTTGTATAGAGCTCTTTTTTGTTTACAATTCTATTTTTTTTGTTTCTTTCCCATTTGTCTGTTTCCAATTCAGCTTTGTAAGGCAATGAAGTTGCCTTACAGAAACAGACAAATAGGAAAGGAACAAAAGATGAGATAATTCTGAGTTTGAGTCTTTTGTTGAGATAATCTGAAAGTATTATAAACTTTTTTTTATGCAATTGACACTGTTAATATTTGATTCAACAGAAGTTATAAATATTAGTAATTGTGAAATATAGAATCTATTGGTTTATATACAGTATATGACAACATTCCTTGGTAATCATGAGCTGTTTGGGAGAGATGCTAAATATAGAAATGGTTGTGCAAAATTTTGCAAAAAATTCAAAAAATATTGAATGAGAAATGATTTGGTTAAATCCTCCACTGCAAGCTTA